AATAGAAGGGTCTTCCTCTGAAGACGAAAGACCTTAATAAAACATAAGAGACATCATTTCTCCTAGACAAATTACTAGTCGTTAAACATTTTTGGATGTTTCCGTAAAAGTCTATTTAAAAAAAAAAAAATTGCTCTTCAAGCAGGGATCGAACTCAAAACCCTTGGGTTGAAAGGCAGGTGCGCTAACCATTAGGCCACGCATTCCGACAACAGTAGTAAGTTAAAATGTTTAGGACTATAGAATAGATGCAAGCGTATTTTTAGAATCGGTAGGGGAAGAAAGAAGTTCCGTAAAAGCAAATAGTTCCTGAACTTGCAAGCAGTATATAAAATAAGAAGGGACGGGCTGCGTGAGAAAACGTTAACACTGTTCCCTAATGAAAATGTATTAGTGGACTGTGGCCCGATTCATCGATATTGTGAGCATGCTGATTTTTTTGTAAATACATGTAGCTTTGTTGAAAGCTTTAAAGATCGGGTTCGGATTTTAGCATTTCTGACTGAATATCCTGAAATAAATATGAAACATTTAAATAAGCATTTCTTTGGGTTATATTAAATATATGTAGCACAAATTAAACTCCCAACATGCATTTTTAGAAGGGAAACACGACAATGAAAGCGAGAATTGTTTTTAATATATCGAAAATCGCTATGTCTGGAAACTGATTAATTCCAAATAAAAATCAAATAAATTCCACATGTAAAAGAAAGAGAGAATGCTCGTTATTAAAATGTCATATCATATCAGGAGAATCGAATGCTATTAACGACATCTGAAGAAATAGCCAATAAAAGGTTAAGATCATTTCTTCGTTCACCTGCACTTTAATTTCAAACACAACAGAACTTGTAGTTTTTGCCGTGAAACTTCATGACTTCTATATACTTATAAGACTCACCGTAAAACTTTCCAGAAAGTTTCTCTGAGGTCTATACTACATTTGTACCAAATTTGGTGTCGATCCGAGGTCTGGTTTGAATTTTACAGAAATATTCTACGTTGTTGTTGATGTGATTTTTTTTTTTAAGAAAGGGGGGGGGGTGAGTTATTTTTTTTATGTTTCTTTTTAACTAACAATTGTAACTACTTCCACAACCTTAAGCTTGATTGTGACCTTTGGGTCAAGGTCAAAGGTCAAGGTCATTTAAAAAAAAAATCTTTACATTCTATGTTTTAACCTGCTACTGTAGCTGGATGCATGTCCTTAGTTTCAAATTTAACCCAAAGTCATGTTTGCCGATAATTTTCATTATTCTCTTTTTTTTTTTGGAGAGAGGGAGAGAAGGACAATAAAACTTAAGAAAGTTCCAGTAGGTTCTTAGCTACAACTCCCTGAAATCTTATATCTATCTGAAGTGTGATTTGAAACTAAGAGAACGATTTCACATTGCTCTCGGGATGATTTTTTTCTTTGAAGTTTTTCCGGAAAAAAAATGTAATTTCTAAATTTTTCAGAGAAAGATCATAAAACTCTACAGGGAGTTACTTTGGAGTCTCAGCTACAGTTCTCTAAAGTTTCGTGTCGATCCGATGTGTGAATTCAATTCTAGAGAAATATTGCATGTTGCAACTGCTGTCTTTTTTTTTTTCACGAAAAAAGGGGGGGGGGTTATATAATAATCCTTAGCTTGTTACACACTGGGAGTTGTAATCAACTCTCCACTTCCTCAGTAAACATTCTGACCTTAATGTCAAGGTCCTATATCAAGGTCAAAGTTCAAGGTCAAAGGTCTAGGTCATACAGATAGGTGGAAAGATCCAATAAACAGAGGCATTTCAAGAGATTTCTGCTCAGAAAGGTTAAAGAAATTAATAATTACTAGACGAGCTTGCGTCAAAGATTTAGCATTCTGGCCCCTTATGGCCCCTAATTACGAATTTTTTTAAAAAAAATTTTAAGAGATATAGATGCAGATTGGGAAGATGAACATTTTTGCTTCAATAATTAATATCAAAATATTTAACGTTAAGGAGTTATAGATGAAAGACTTTTGGCCCCTCTGAGCCCCTAATTTGAGGGGTCAGCCCCTTTTCCTTGACATCACATGAAAGGTCTTGTAATTTTGAAGACTTTCTGTTCAACAACTATTCAGAAGTTTCGTTTCCTTTTCGAGATATGTAGACTTGAAATATTTAGGGGCCGTCCCTTTAAGTCCTTATAGGGGCTGTTTAGGAAAAATTCAAAGGATGCACATTGTTCAGATCATCATTCTAAACAACTTTTGTTCAATATTGCTTTTCAAAATGTTTCCCCTTTTCGAGATATAAAGCTTCAAAGATTAAGCATTCTGGCCCCTTATGGCCCCTAATTACGTAATATTTGAAGAGAATTTTAAGATATATAGTTGCAGATTGTGAAGATGAACATTTTTGCCTCAATAATTAATATCAAAATATTTAACGTTAAGGAGATATAGATGAAAGACTTTTGGCCCCTCTGAGCCCCTAATTTGAGGGGTCAGCCCCTTTTCCTTGACATCACATGAAAGGTCTTGTAATTTTGAAGACTTTCTGTTCAACAACTATTCAGAAGTTTCGTTTCCTTTTCGAGATATGTAGACTTGAAATATTTAGGGGCCGTCCCTTTAAGTCCTTATAGGGGCTGTTTAGGAAAAATTCAAAGGATGCACATTGTTCAGATCATCATTCTAAACAACTTTTGTTCAATATTGCTTTTCAAAATGTTTCCCCTTTTCGAGATATAAAGCTTCAAAGATTAAGCATTCTGGCCCCTTGTGGCCCTTATTTATGTAACATATGACGTAAAAATCATAATATATAGTTGTAGTTTGTTAAGATAAATAATTTTGTTTCAGTAATGTATACAAAAATATTGCTTGTTTAAGAGTTATCGATTAAAGACTTTCGGCCCCTATCGGCCCCTAATGTGATGAGTCAGCGCTTTTTTCTTGATATCATGTTACAGATCTTTTTATTCTGCACAAATATTGTTCAATATGTTTTAACAAAATAATTATACTTTAAAAGATACGATACAAAATGTCTCCAAAATTCACTCATGATTCGTGTCCTAAATTTCGACCCCTACCGAGCTTCCATACTAGGCACTTCCGGAAAATATCTAAACCCAGGTGCAATATGGCAACATGTCCTCTATCATCCCTGAAAATTTCAGCGCTCTAGCTTAAGCCGTTTTTGAGTTCCATCGCAGACAAGGAGGTCTTCTGAATTTTAATAAAAGGGCGATAACTTCCGACCGGAAGTGATTTTCAAAAAAACGATATTGCCGGAATTAACTTCAGATGTCAACGCATCTACCATGAAAATTTGAATAAAATCGAACCAGCCATCTCCGAGAAATCTTCTGCACAAATTTTGTAAAGAAAAAAAAGAATAATAATAATAATAATAAAGGTAAAAAAGAAACCTAAGAATAATAGAAGGGTCTTCCGCTGAAGACGGAAGACCCTAAAAAGGTAAAAAAGAAACCGAAGAATAATAGAAGGGTCTTCCGCTGAAGACGGAAGACCCTAATAATAAAAAGAAACAATAGAATCACTATAAGGTCTTCCGTGGAGACGGAAGACCTTAATAATAATAGTAAGAAACAAGAGTAAAAACAACATGTTCCCAAACTCCGTTTGGGGAACATAATTACGGCGTTGATCTAATTAGCTTGTTTAATTAGATCAACAATTTCTTCTCTGAAATAAAAGCATAATTTTGAAAATGTTCTCTTGAAGATTGAAATGAAATTTTCTGTTTCTAAAATGTGAAAGGTGGTTGCTGGTGTTCCTTTTTAATAGAACCTGTGAAGTCTTTGGAGACCAGGTTTTCCAAAACCTTTTTTGGATTGCGATGGGCACTTCTTGTGTTTATATATTCATTAGAACCAGTTAATATTTTGTTTTCAAAAATCTTCTACATAAGAAGAAACTCATCATTTCTCGTTTACTATAACCTAGAGGTAGGAAGTTTGCCTTATGATCGAGGGGCCCGGATTTGAATTTCTTTCACCTAGGTTGCGTCAAACATAAATAAGGACTGTTCCCTCGGCCAAGTGTTCGGCATTGGAAGTAAAAGTCACGGGTCTTTTAGATGAAGTCTTAAAAACCGAGTACCCATATCACGGTTGTCGTGGCACCCTCACTGATCATTCCCTGAGTGTGGAGTACTGGTCTAAATTGCGGCGGTAACATGTCGTTTTCTGTAGTCCAAGAATTAGATTAGTTGTGTCCTAAAAATCGGGGGTTAAATTACATGCATTACATCTAAATTAACAGAGAAAGACTTTTCTTTGAAAACGTGGCGAGAGTCGTAGTCCCTTTCTCATTTGATGCTTCTTGCCTGCTTGTTTATATCTCAGGAAACATTTACCTTGGCCATACCTTTTAAACGCTGGTGTTGGGACTTTCATATTTCACATGTTTATTTCTTCAGGCATTTTTTGTGCATTTTTTGACCACGTTACCCTTACCTCGGAATATGCCCTTCTTTTAAAAATAAAATCATTATCTTTATCATTTTTCTTTGATATCAGTTTCATCACCTGCATTCGGGGTTTATATCTCTCAGTTAATTCGACACGCAAGAGCATGCTCTACGTATGCACTATTTTTAAAACGAGGTAAATTATTGACAAACAAGTTGATGAAACAAGAATATCAGCAGTCTCGTTTGAAGTCATCATTTCGTAAGTTCTATGGTCGATACAATGACCTTGTCAACAAAAACAATTTATCATTGAGTCAAATGATGACTGACGTTTTTCATACTTATTGTTAGGCCAATATTTACACACTGAATTGTCGACGGATTTTTCCGTTATTTCCCGATAATGACAAGGAGCATACGGCGGGTGTGACCGGTCGGCAGGGGATGCTCACTCATCCATGGCACCTGATCCCACCTCTAATGTTTTGGGGGTCTGTGTTTGCTCTGCACCTACTTTGTAATGTTTAACGGACTTTTGAGCTTGAATACTGTTCGTTATCTCCATATATTTCATTTCATAATGTTCCTAATAATCAACGCAAAAGTTAATCAATTTTATTTTATAGCAATATAAATACAAATATTACAAGACTATTATTATGTTTTTAATATTGGTGTACATATTAATCTCCTTCATTCATCTGTTGCAGACAAATTTTAAAATTAGCAAACGATATTTAATTTCTCTTCGCATCAATGTTAATGATAAAATAATGACACCTTCTTTTAAAAATATTGCTCTCTCACTCCCTCTCATAATTCTGTGAAATATTGATTATAATTAAAAAATACACTAAATAAAGTTGTTCACAACATATATCACGACAACATCCTTTACAAAATATTCACAAAAAAACTCAGTAAATTTATATACAATATTATGTATAGTAACAGTTACTATATACTATGTTATACTTTCAAACAAATTCAATTTGCTACTGAAAGTTAAAAAGAGATCGGAATATTAACCATACTGCATTCAACTTTGTTAAAGGCTGTGTTTAGCCTTGTTGATGTTTGTCATTATACAAAATGAACACAGTTTAACACACAATATATTTTTCTTTCATTGAAAATATCATTCACAGAATTTTTTTTCATTGGGAAACATTTTTATAAATTTCTTTAATATTTGTCCCCTCTATGAATCATTTATATTTGTTACTATCATAACATCCCAACGACGTGATTGCGTAACCATTCAGTGATGACGTCATAATTTTCATTCATCCAGTTAATGTTTGCCCTGGAAAAAAATATTTTTTTTTAATATTACATTGAAGAAAACACCCACTTACAACTAGACATTTTGCCCAAGCACCATACATGTCCTTCACTAAGAAAAAAATTATATAAGATTCAAATCTCTACAATATCAAATACAGAATCAGATTTTGAAATATCTCTCCGGTTTAAATCATATTTGATGGATACAACAGGTTGTACAGTTGCTTACTTATATAGGTTTTACTGTTTATTATCTCCTTATAAAAGAATGTAGTTCTACACAGTTGTTTACTTATGTAGGTTTTAGTGTATATTATCTCCTGACAGCAGGATGTTAATCTACACAGTTGTTTACTTATGTAGGTTTTACTGTATATTATCTCCTTACAGCAGGATGTTAATCTACACAGTTGCTTACTTATGTAGGTTTTACTGTATATTATCTCTTACAGCCAGATGTAAATCTACACAGTGACTTACTTATGTAGGTTTTACTGTATATTATCTCCTGACAGCCAGATGTAAATCTACACAGTGACTTACTTATGTAGGTTTGACTGTATATTATCTCCTTACAGCAGGATGTTAATCTACACAGTGACTTACTTATGTAGGTTTTACTGTATATTATCTCCTTACAGCAGGATGTTAATCTACACAGTTGCTTACTTATGTAGGTTTTACTGTATATTATCTCTTACAGCCAGATGTAAATCTACACAGTGACTTACTTATGTAGGTTTTACTGTATATTATCTCCTGACAGCCAGATGTAAATCTACACAGTGACTTACTTATGTAGGTTTGACTGTATATTATCTCCTTACAGCAGGATGTAAATCTACACAGTGACTTACTTATGTAGGTTTTACTGTATATTATCTCCTTACAGCAGGATGTTAATCTACACAGTGACTTACTTATGTAGGTTTTACCGTATATTATCTCTTACAGCCAGATGTAAATCTACACAGTGACTTACTTATGTAGGTTTAACTGTATATTATCTCCTTACAGCCAGATGTTAATCTACACAGTGACTTACTTATGTAGGTTTAACTGTATATTATCTCCTTACAGCAGGATGTTAATCTACACAGTGACTTACAGTACCCGCATCGTTATTCTTAACAATTCTATCGTGTCCTATCGTGCGTTTATCCTATCGTATCGTGCGTGTATCTTATCGTATCGTGCGTGTATCCTATCGTATCGTGTTTTCCGTTTATCAGGTTTTGCGTTTTCTATCATGTTTTCCGTTTATCAGGTTTTGCGTTTATCGTGAAGATCGTTTATCAGGTTCTATCGTGTATCGGGAAATCCTCGCTTTTTATCTTTACCTTGAGAAGAAACACCCGAGGTATCCCGAGTTCATTTTTCGTTTTGTTAATTTATTTAGGATTAATTTAACTGTTGAACAGAATCACAAATTAATACTCTAACTCTGGTATATTTGTTTAAGAAAATAAATAAATAAATGAAATAAATAAATAAATAAATAAACGTCAAGTACCGTGACCAAGCAGAGAGTGTAAATCGAAAGCCAAATTCTATTTTTGGACATGAAATAATCCATCTACTAGTCATTCGTTATTTTTTTCTTTAATTTCTCGATTTGTAAGAAACATTTTTTGTCAAGATAGAAAGATACTTCCTTTACACAGAGTCACAAAAGCAAGACATTTATTAACTTTGCTTTGATAATTATAGAAACATAAAGCAGTAGGTATGAGTGTAAAAATAAACTATAAATAAAAAAAAAATATCAGCATCATTATTACATGTAAGTCAATCCTTTCTATCAATAACGGGAACATAAATTTTGTCTATGCGCGCAAGTTTTGTTGTTCCTTTTTATTTATTTGTTTCTCTGATGTGTCAACAAGTTAAATTACAGTTTATTTTACATGAACATGCTCCATTCAATTCATCATATGATAATTATATATTTTAATATAGATGTTTGCCATTCATATTTGACTACTGCATTTAGAAGATGTAAAAACAAAAAAAATAAATTAAAAAAATAAACAAAACCATACTAATTTTTATTATACAACTTACCTATTTCGACGTGAAAATGAAGTGAGTATACATGTACACGTATATACCGTAATTAAGTGACAGGTGGAAGCGCTTCCGTGACAAGAGAACTGACACCTAAACGTACCTGCCTAATCAGTACACTGTCTTCCTGTCAGGTCAAGAATCCACCCCCCTTTCCCCCTACATGACCATGCCCTTGTGTATTCAACGGAGACATACCTGAACTCCCCTCTCACCCGGTGTCAGGCATTTACCTTGAATCCTACTAGGTTTCAATGAAATGCATCTTCTTATTTTCTGGATATCGTTTGAACAAAATTAATTAATAATTTAAGATTTTATACAAAGAAAATTGGTAAATGTACACTTCTGTTACAGATTAAAAATTTAATAAATGAATCAAATAAAATATAGGCGAGTTTTGTCCCCCAAACTCCGTTGATTTAGTTCATTTGTATACATTTATTTAATTTTTATAGGTTTACAGTATTAAACATTATTGGTGTGATCAAATTTAAAAAAAAATGCGCTTGTGGTACTTCCGGATCTTCGGGTTTTCTATGTAAAATAAAAAAGAAACATTCTATTAATCGAAGAATATGGTAAATAATTCTTAGCAGAAACATACGAACTTTGCCTCGCACGATTTTTTTTCTTATTAAAAAGGCGCCTCAAAGATACATGTAAAAAATTAAAAGAAATCACCCGGATCTGCCGTGATACACAAGGCGAGTAAATACCTTGAATTTAATATTAATGTTTATCGATTGCATTTAATACTTGACTATGTTCAAGAAGTCAATATATTTATTTATTTATTTATTTATTTATTTATTTATTTATTTTGCTCTTTGAATTGGATCTTTTTTTGAGTGGTTATGGAACACCCCCCTTCTTCCCCGCTGACTATGCCTCAAGTGGGATTAAGACTTTCATAATTTATTACAAAGTTTTGTCTAATTTTGCCGATGTAGTTCTATATAAGATAAATTTTGTAACAATTAATACAAAGTCTAATAGCAATAATTTACAATTCTTCAGTCCGAAAATCCACTTTTCGTATTGTGTAAATTAATTTATAATTTTGTGTGTGTGTGTGTGTGTGTGTAAGGGTGTGTGTGTGTGTGTGTGTTCTAATATGTTGTATACAAGAGTATGTAATAATTCATTGTTATTATTTAATACAAAGTTTAAGTACCCAATAAATATATTCACATACATTGTAAGCTTAGCATACACGCGTCTATAGTAGATACAAATTCTGTTATTGTAAATGTTTATAACACAGGCATGCGTAGAAAGCAATTTCATTTCTTTGGGGGCGGGGGTCTAAAAAGAAATGTTTTGAAAAGCAAACAAAAGAGGCTGAAGACATTATTATTGTTGATGGGCAATATTATCATTATATTTCTACTGTATACTACACATGTTGGTACACTGTAACTTTTTTAGGTATACGACTGCATGCTCCCTTCTTAATCTTACATGCCTATAGCATTAGAAACACCAGAGAATAAATACAAAAGAATGGAAATGCGGTATTTTTTTCGGATACTAGATGATGACAGATCTAGTGACGTTTATTAATTTTATTGAATTCGATTTCTTTCCACATATATACATAATTTTATACGATGTATGTAGGAATACGTAAATACTTTCTATGTGCACGGGATATGTGTAACATATATATTTATACATAGGAGAGATTATTTAATCACAGTCCAGTGCTCAGTCTGTGTCAATGCAACTAGCAATTTCAGCAAGTCATGTGTTCAAAACGTAATGAAAATAAAATTAATTTATATCAAATATAAATTTAAGCAAGTTCGTAAAAACTTTGAGGAGAAAGCATTAACATTGAAAAATAATAATGATTTTTTTTTTCGAATCCCCCCCCCCCTTTAAAATTATGACAAGTAATTTTTTTTGTAAGATTTGAATTATTCAATACAGATTACTAAAGGCGATTTTGGATACATCACAAACTTCTAGCACAAGATATTGAATCTAAATATTTCACTTTTTACATGGAGTTCTTCCATAGAAATAATCAATGTTTGTTATGAATAAGGTTTTATTTGTTAAAATAATGAATATATTTATAGCGTTTCGTGAATCTATTGACATGGGTGTAAAACTTTGCTTGTCTAGCGAATTTTTTAGCCACCTATAAATTAAAATCTCCGTAATTAAACGATTCAAAATTCAAATTTAACGATTCGATGGAATTTCGACATTTGTATAATTACACAAACAGTCGCCTAATTTCCATCATAGATTGGAATTAATCTTAAATAATTACAGTTTGAATTTGATGACGATCAGTTTTACATGTATTGACGGAAAAAAATGTATCTTTTACAAAGCATCATTACATTAGATGTTTTATCACGATAAAATTAATATATTTTATCATTTAGATATGCGGCTTTGTAAGTAAATAAAATTATTATACTACTAAAAAGGAAACTTTTCGTCTTGTCAAAAAACGTTTCGCATTTTGAAACAATCCTATCAGGTTTTGCGTTTATCCTATCGTGAAGATCGTTTATCAGGTCTATCGTGTTTTGCGTTTATCGTATTTTGTGTTTATCGTGTTTTGCGTTTATCCTATCGTGCGTGTATCCTATCGTATCGTGCGTTTATCCTATCGTATAGTGCGTGTATCCTATCGTATCGTGTATCCTGTAAATAATAACGATGCGGGTACTGTACTTGTGTAGGTTTAACTGTATATTATCTCCTTACAGCAGGATGTAAATCTACACAGTGACTTACTTATGTAGGTTTTACTGTATATTATCTCTTACAGCCAGATGTAAATCTACACAGTGACTTACTTATGTAGGTTTAACTGTATATTATCTCCTTACAGCAGGATGTTAATCTACACAGTGACTTACTTATGTAGGTTTTACTGTATATTATCTCCTTACAGCAGGATGTAAATCTACACAGTGACTTACTTATGTAGGTTCTACTGTATATTATCTGCTTACCTGATAAGAGCCAAGGAAGTCTGCGTTTGTTTCTTTGCCACCTTTGGAGGCTTGTCTTTAAATAAGGTTGCCAACTAAAATGGATGAATAATTTTATCCACATTTTTGTTTCAAAATGGAACATCCAAGGAATTAAAATAATGACACGAATCGTATCAGTAATATAAAGTTTTGCTCATGCCATGAAAAAACAAGTTTACAATTTGAACTAGTATAATGTTAAAGCACTCAGTAAAAGGACTCCTTTTGAAGATTATGAAAGGTTATAACAGTACTGTAATTGCAACGATTAAGATTCTCAAATTTAAAGCTTCTGATATTGTTTTTTTTCAAGTTTTCTCCCATTCTAATTAATGTAAAAGGGTCAGTTAATGAAAACATTATTTTTTATAGAAAGTGCATTTACTGTAAATCCAAAAACTTACAACGTAGCACATTTATTTAAATAAAGGACAACAAAGCTTATCAGACTACTGCAAAATATGATGGAAAAACTAAATTTGATAATTTAAATTCTGAGGCTAATAACAGTTTTTACCTGCTTATATTCGAATTCAGAGTTAACAAACTGAGTAACTTCAGCTATCGTCTCCCTCAGAAGAAAATTGTCAAATCCAAATCTGAAAAGAAAAATTGTTTTTGTTTCATCCTGAATTTTCTCTGACTTTTTATCATGTAACTTTATTTGTTATATTATTTAATGCTCTCAATGTTTTTAGCTGCTTTTTTAGAATTCTGTATTATCAAAAATGTATTATGTATAAACATACTGTGATATTGTGTAAATTTGTATAAATTTGTGTAAATAATTAAAATTCAAAAATTTAGTGACAAAATATCAAAACACTGTAAATACAGAACAATCTAAGGTCAAACTGAAGAGTTTGAATTTCTTGTTTTTAATATAATAAACATGTTCAGAAAATTCAAAAATAATTAATTAATATGAATACATGATGAAAACTTCGTTTTTCTTTTCAAAATTATCTCAGAAGTTAAACTTATATGGAATATGAAGTCCATTTTCTGTCGAAAATCTTACTGTTCATTTAGCTTGTCCCATTTTGTCATAAGTAAGTGTAGAGTGATCATTCTTCCCAGAGGGCGCTTTGACAGATAACTGATAACGAGACGTACGTCCTGCATCCTGATCCTTGAGGAGTCAAAGATCCAGTTGGCGTACCTGAAGATAGAAAAATATGATATATGTTAATGAGACAGAGAGAAATACAGCAAGTCCGTCTAGAGTAGCCAGGCAGGAGAGATGTGAGAGAGAGAGAGAGAGAGTAGAAAATTTCCACCTCCAGAGTAGCCAGGGTTTCTGGGACTGTCCTAGCGCTTCCATCAGCATCTCCCTCTCCACGGCCACGTTAGTTGACTGTGATTTGTTCCAGACATAGTCCCACTCCTCCACCCCTCCTTCCCTGACCCCCACCATATATATCACTGACGAGTAGTCACTGGGGAGTCTGAAAACAGAAGTGAACATTAGTTAAAATGGGTCATCTTTCTAAAATGAGTTCTTTTATGCTATTCTCCACTTAGATCTTCTCATAGAGATTGTGAATGATACTTGACATTTACCTCTATTATCATTGGGGTTTTTTTTATTATGCGATATAATTTATAACTATTTAGAGAAAATGCCGAAGGAGCAATAGAAACAGCAGCTTTCAGGACGAAAAGGCTATCCACTGAGATATTGGTCACGACATTCCTCATACAGTATTTCTTTTCTGTTTAAACTTTTAAAATTATAATTTTACACATTTTGTCTAATTCACTGGGAAAAAAGACGCTCTGTTCAAAATTTTCACATTTAATCAATAGATTCAAGATTATTTTTTTTAAGATTATAGGAAATAATTGGGAAGAACTTTATAATGAGCACTATGATAAATAATAGTGACAGACGACATTAATACTGTGTTTCTCTTGAGGCAAATATGGAACCTTAAACAAGAGACAAACATACACACATGTAACTAAAATAAAGGGAACTCAGGTATCCGGACGCTTCACATATCCGGACAAATTGACTGGGAACCAAAGCGTCCGGATAAATGAGGCTCCACTGTATTATTTATTCTTATGGTTTGCTTGCTCGAGATATTTTTCATATAAGTACATTTTTTTTTCTACAAAAGAGCTCAAATGGAGTTCGTGCAGACTTCCATAGAAGAGCATGTTATGTACCTTTGGATTTAAGGATCTCGCTAGGGAATCAATACGCTTACGACTAGCCAAATAAACAAAAATTAAAATACGTTTCAATTGATGAGGTACAACTGAGTAATTCATATCACCCTTTAGTCTTTCTAGATGTCAAGCTGAATAACTAGTGTAACTTAGAGAGGTCTTTCAGAGGTAAAAACTGAAAAACTCATGTCATCCTGGTGTCTTTCCAGGGGTGAAAGTGAATAACGTATGTCACTTTGTCTTTCAAGAGGTAAAATTGAATAACTTGTGTGTTTCTTAAGTAATTCTGTGATCTTTCCAGGAGTAGAATATCTCAGGTCATTTTGGTCTTTGCATAGGTTTAACTAAATACGAATCGTCATTATTTGACATTTCAATAGGTTTAAACTTTCGTCATTTATTGAAGCACTTGAACTTGAAGAGAAAGTTTATCGATCTTTCAATTGAGATCTTTGATATCGAGGTCCCGTAAGCGATATGCATACATGTGCTATAATTTGTGGCACTTCACCTAGAGCAGGTGACGTCTCTATATGAGTGAAAAACTCGAAAGGGACCTTATACAACAATCAGTTATAATCTTCCCATTCTTTAAACCGAATAAATTGCATCATTTATTGGTCTTTCCAGAGGTAAATTAAAAATTACCAACTTACGCCATCCCTTGGTCTTTTTAGAGGTTAAAAATATTAACTTAGTCATTCCATAGTCTCTCCTTAGGTAAAAAATTATTAACTTACGTCATCCCTTGGTCTTTCCAGAGGTAAGAATTATTAACTTACGTCATCCCTTGGTCTTTCCAGAGGTAGAACATTCTCCTGGCGTAGGCGACAGCTTTCTTATACCCGACATCACAGGCCAGCTTCAGAATGGTTTGTCGTAAAAATCTAAATAAAAGTTGTCAAAATCTAAATGAGTGTCATAAAAATTTTAACAAATGTCGTAAAATCTAAATAAATGTGACAACTGCTGTAAAAATCTAAATAAATGGCGCAAAAGTCTCTCTTTTTTTTAAATGTAAAAAAAAAAAAAAAAAAATCTAAGTGAATGTCGTAAAAATCAAAACAATTGATTTGTCCTGAAATTGTTTATAGTTGCTTCTTTAAAAAATCTATACAATCGCATTAGAGTAAGAATTTATGTAATTGTCGAAAGAATCTAAATAAATTTGTTGAGAAAAAACATAAAAAGTCATTATCGTAAAACTATTTATCAATGAAGATTTTCTTTCTTTTTTTTTTAAATCTGCATCAATGTTGTATAATTTATATATAGATAACGTCGATTTAAATTAACGTCATTAACATCTACCTGGGCTAATAGCTACACAAATATTCTAAAAATGTCCAGAAATTTCGTGATACATGTACATGTATCTATTCAAACTCTAACACAGAATTTTGTCTAAATGATGTTAAATTTACATTTATAAATAATTGACGTATCTTGTCGTATTTTCAGAATTTTCAACGTGTGAATTCAACATTACATATTAATTGGAGGATCTGAAATAATTATCGCAGGTATTTTGCTCGATATAATTAGAATTTTAAAAGTATTGATGTCATTGATCTGTCGTCTAGAATATGCTGTTGAGTTATATATGTGCCATATGAAGGTTAATTGAAGTTTTCTTTATAAGTCTAGTTTAATTCGAATTTTCATTTAGGTAGAAGAAATCAACAAAATTCATAGAGTTTAAATTTTTGAAATAGAAATCTATATACATATATTAAGTATAATTGAATGCACAGGCCCTTAGATCGCTTTAAAAAAAATTAGGTGTTAAAAATCTTTTTTATACACCCCAATTTTTTAAGTCCGATTTAAGCGATCCAAAGGCCTATGGTTGAATGCAAATAATTCAATCGCATAATTAGTACACGTATATTCTTTATCAGGACGGAAAATAATAATTCATTTTTAAAGCTTTAATGATTTTGATATAAATGACTGTGTTCTTGGGGTCGTTTACCTACATCGTAGTAAAAAAAACCCATAATCATCTGTATACAGATCTGCCAATTAAAAAAATCTTCTGTCTTATTTCTAACTGATCACAAAGAAAATTCGAATGAAAGGGAAATAATATCAACATCTGTCACTACTGGCAAACTTCCGGCTGATCTTTCAGGCATTGCCAGCAAAGAACTATTTTACATCTGTTAATTAAAGAAGACATACAGCCGCCATAACTCATCCTTTATCCGGAATATTATCCGTGATAGACTCAAATTTTACCGAACTCAGTATATGAATCAATGTCCCCTTACAGTTCGTTCCACTGTGTGACACATTTTTCAACTTGGCGGGACAACAGAGCATAAAACATGCACTTAAAAATACGTAACTAGATATTGGCTGTAGACGTCCTTGCGCAGCCAAAATGCTGTCAGACATGCAAAGGAATAATGGTGTTGATACACGATTCATTTGTATCCTTGCATGTTTGTACTAACTTTTCAGCAGTGAATTAAAAGAAAGGAACTTTGGGTTTACATTACGTAATTTAACCTGTCTGAAGTATTTTGCTGATTTTATTCCTTTAGCTCCTTTTCGCGTAGAAGTATTTCATTATCATTAAGGACATACTAAACACACATGTAAACGTGCTTCACAACGTACATGTACTTTCCCTACCGATAACTTTTAAAGATATTCTAATTTACATTCATAGACAATCAGACGATCTATGATTTATAACAAATCAGCATGCTTTACCAGGGTTTCTTGAACAGGTATCAAATGATTAAAAAATCATATAATATTCAAAAAAAATTATCAAAACTTAAAATTAGAGCTTTAGCTAGTTTTTCTTTAAAAAAAAAGTATACGTATCTAATTATAACTTGATTAAAGGAGTTTACAGAATCCTTAGGCATTATAAAAGTTTACAAAGGTTCTTCAATAATTGGAACTTTAAAAAATTATACAGGGAGCAAGTAAGTACATGTACGTTGCGTGTGTCTATTTGTCCTTTTTGGAATCAAGGTTCTGTGCAATATGTGTTTTTGTTTTGTTGTTATTGTTTTCTTTAATTGTAAACATTCGTCCTTTTGAGGGGTCTAATAAGAATGACTCTGATATGAAAGCTTCTTCCAGAAGAAGTCAATACCTTTCTGGTAGATTCCCTTCCACTGACATCTCTATTGAATCAAACACTGGCGCCACCAGGTCAAGCAGATATTTCTAAAACGCAGAATGACAGACGGGAAATCAATACCCGAAAATGTACAATCAACAGCAAATATAACAGTAATGCACAGATAATAAAATAACACGAACACAAGTCAAATAGCCCTGTCATAGTCAATAAAAGAAGACACGATATTGACCGAGGTTGTTCCGTTTGACCTTGATAGATTTGGACACTGATAGCTAAATGACTGTCATCTTTCATTTTTCCAGAGGTTAAATGAAAGTGGCAGTGGAAAGAAATTTCGTATCAAATCTCAGTTATCCTCATACTTTGGGAATATCAAGTTTGCTCTTAAGGGTTTGAGTTTTTCTTCATTTTACACATAACCATAGTTCATATTTAAATCATGTAAACAATTGCAAGATAGTTGGTTTTTTCCTTTGGCTTGATTTCTTTTTCATTTGAAGAAGAAAAATTTTTTAGGTGATCTATTTTCCGATTTATTTTTTTTTTTTTATGAGGCTTTTAATGAACATTGAAAGAAAAAAAAACATAAACTGAATATGCAAGGGAAAATATGGTTATGACCCCAACAGTTGATGCAATTAATTATTTGTATCTACTCTCATATCATAGATGACATTTATAATAATCAGTAAATTATTTCCAGTAAATGAATATTTGTACGAACGTCATCCTTTAATTAAAACTTTCCATATTTCATCAAATATATTTACCTGTAGAAGGACATATGCCCCCGACTTAGAGATAGAACTCTTAATATACTCTACAGAGTCCAGAAATGCCACCCAAGGAGCATAACCCCTCTCATACTTTAGATATGTCGTCATATGTAAAGCAACGTCATAATCCAAAAGTTTTGCCCTAAAATCAAGAAATTCCTTTAGTTGTTATAATATGAATTCAGCCAATTATGACTATTCATAAAAAAAAATTAGCTGCATCATTAAACTTAATATTGACAATACAAAGAGTATTTAAAATCCAAACAAAACATTGATAATGTACCTTGCTAAATTGAACGAATCCCCAATTAACCCTGCTCTGTTTGCCTCTGGAAAAATCTGAAAAATCAGAGATGGGTTTCATGAATCGATCTACTTACTACTTATTTGTATACAATTTTGGAAAAATTTTGTAACATCCAGAATTATACGTAAGTCGTAGCCCGCCTTTTAATGGGGAGAAGAAAGGGGAATAGACTGTTTTTGTTTAAGCACCCCTTCTCTCTTCTCATTTACCATAATTAGCCCCTGAAAAGGGACAAAAAAGAATGCAATTTCTTTATTATTTGATAGATTATTTTCCATTTAAGGAACTTAACTTTCCCCTTTTCTCCTTAGAAAGGTTTCAACCGCACTCTACCCTTTGCTTTTCAACATTATATCAACTTTCATAATGATTTAAGTATTTTATTCACATTATTAAAGGTGACTGGTTCATGCCAATCGTTTAAGAATTCAACACATACTTACTGTATGGTTTCTGTTTAGTTGATTTGCCAGTTTTCTCCACATACTAACTTCATAATTAACACGATAAAATCCGGTGTACTCATAATTAGCCAGAATCCAGGAATCAATTGTCCGCGGAATCGTAGCTGAATTCAAAAATCGTGAAAACAGAATAAATAAGGAACAAGGTGAGAACAGAACTCAGAATTTTTTTTATATAAATTCTTTAGATTTGCAATTCTCATTATCTTGGATAAGCTTCTAGCATGAAATTATTTCTTAAAACAAGTAATTTACACAAATTGACTTTCGAAACAGAAAAAAACACTCTCAATATAAGGTACATGTATATACTGTCTTTTTTTCTAGACATTACTTTCACAATACGACTTGGTAGATATTGGTGTATTTTAGCATTTAATCAATACTATATATATATGATTTCTTTCGTTTGAGGATCGAATTAGACAAAAATCAATTTCTACTTGGTAATAATAATGAATGGATTATTCCGGATATTTAAAGTTTTCTATTCGAATACCTGTACAAGCAAGTTCAGTCATGCGGTTCAATAGAACCGGTTTCAATTGAGTGGTTTGTTAAAGCTAGTTTAGGACGACACGTACAGTTGATAATACGTTAAAAAGGAGTATTCTACTTACGTATAGTAGTGTGGTCCCTTTTTACACCCTTGGTTTACCACTTAAATATTAGCATACGGTATTTTGTTTGTTTTCATTGTGTATAAAGAACTATTTCTAATTAAAACATTGTGTATTTATAATGCATAATTAAACATATCAGAAAATACAAGCCTATTTTTTAACACATATCCCACTAAAAAATGCCGGAACATTTACCCTCAATCAGACCACGGTTTCTCTATTACATGGAAATGGGCGGTGACATTTAGATTAGATACTATAAAAAGATCTTGGTAAGATATTTTTCTTTCAAAGACGAATTTTATGTTCAAGATTCACAATCAACTACAAATACAATTTTTCCGATTAAAAAAACTTTGGCAATAAAAGCTATAACAAGATGAACCAAACATATCCATGCTGATCGATATAAAACTGAGTACGTTTCAACTGAGAACTAGCACGTATACTGGGGGCATTTACCCGTAAGATACAAAACCACGTGGCTTGTTACGATTCTAAACAGGTCATAAAGAGGTTAATCGCATGTAAATGAAGTCAGCGAAGAGATTCAAAATCACAATACTTTTACTTTGGAAACGTAGAGCACAAGGTTGTTCAACAAAGATATTTTCACTCAACCTTTACACATATAATATACACATTATAATTCAAACTCGACTGTGAACAAACCTGTGCTCGGTGTTAACGAAAGCTTTGAAGTGTGTATCTGTCACTGATTTCTTTTGATATTCATGAAAATCAAAGGACCCTACCTATAACGCGCAGCTTCGTATGCTGTCTATATCTATTGTTTGACATTTTAGATGATGATTTAAATAATAAAGACATTAATAAATAATAAAATTTAATTTTTAAAAATTTAATAAATGTGCGAAATTTGACTAGTAACCGGGTACCACAGATAAGCCTTATTGAGACTTGTTCTTTGTTAGAATTATTAAATTTTATGAATCAAATGATATTTTCCCGCGTTTCGATAGTATAGCGGGAAAATGTTGTATTAATGACAAGATGTTTATACACATGTAGTGTGGATTGGTCAGAGAGTGACCAATAGAAATTGATTTTGATGTGTAATAGAGAACTGGTTTTAAAGGTTGGTCACTTCTAGCCGCCGATTTAAGCGAGCAACATCAAAGTTTTCATAATTTGTAGATATAAGAATTTTTTTTTATCAAGTATACATGTAGGTTGTGAGGTCCGTCGCAACTATTTTTGCATCCAGCGGCACTTGGCAACGGACACAGGTTTCTAGAGTTTTTAAAATTATTTTATCTCTAGTTTTTCCTGGCCGGCCCTGATGCTTTTCAAAATTTTCAAATTATATAATTATAATATATGCAGCAGTTTTTGCAAAGGACAAGGTATGGTAATGGCCGAATCTGGCCCCTTATTTGATGTAAAAATCAGAACACAGTTAAAATTGTGATAGCTTGTAGTTATGAACCTAAGATGATGCTTGATTTAAAACAAGCACTAATTTTGATTCAAAGCTTACACGGAGGGCACAAGAGTGTGCAAAAGTAGGACATTTTCCCGAATTTCCTCAATTTCTGTGGAATTTTGTCAAATTTGCAATACTTGTCACTTCGGGAAACATAGAGCACAAGCTTGCCTATCTGAGATTTTTATACAAAAGATGCATCTGATACTAGTGTATGAGATATATAAATTTGGTTGATAGGCAAACTTGTGCTCTATTTTTTCTGAAACAAAATGTGCTCTAAAATCGATGAAAATTTGCATAAAAATGAGAAAATTCGAAAATTGACAGATTTTCTGACCTTCCTGTGACCTCTGTGTATCCCATAACTTAGAACCAATACTCATTTTGTGGCAGGAGTGACAACAGGTTTTTATTGATAAACTGTTGCATCATCTTAAAAGACACCCCAAACCAGGGGCCAAAAAGAGGTCTTAGCCTATCTTATCCTTTGATGGTTTTATTTCTTCACACAATGTACTGTATGTATATATTGATTTATTGTTTTGTGGAGACTGTCAATAAAATACGGCGTCCAGCGCACGCTCGGCTGGCTGTCATGCATAGCATGTTGTTGTTTTTCATGTTGGTATAAAAGTAATGGAGTGAATACTGTATATGTACATGTTATTTAACAATATGTTTTGTTAATGCATTAAAGCTGCCGAGTTTCATTGCTAGTCGATTCAATGTGTTGTGTTCCTTATTATTACTGATTTGGTATCAGGAATGAATGGGATTTAAAGGAGAAGATATATCGATAGAAAGGTTTAAATGCCGGAGGAGGAGAGGAATGGGTGTTTGACACATCATGTATCTTAAAGTTACTAAAATTTATAGTAAAGAACCCAACTGATATGACCAGGGGATCCGACCTCTTTCTACATGAAAAAGATTCTGGTTGGTCTGGACTTAAATTCTTAGATTTGTCATATTTGGCTGGTTCTAAAGCTATCCTCAAGTTCGGATTATATGTGAAATATTGTAAAATTCTATGTAGTGTGAAAAATATTGACCAACCACTACTATTCAACGTTTTATCTGAGTGAATAAACATGGAATCAACATATATTAATAAAGAACTACAATGTACTACACATTTTGTCAATTATCTATCTATTTATCAGGGGAAAAAAATATACATTTAAATAATATATAACCGTGTTACCTGAAGTATTATTCATCCAGACCAGCTGGGTTTCGGATTCATCCTCTGTGATGTATGTAAAAGGTACGACCCATCTGAAGTCAAATCAAAATAAAATACCTATATACATTGTATTTCAAAAAAATTTGTCCCCTTAACATGAATAGTATTTATTACAAGCATGCTTAGTCCAATAAAACTTCAAATAAACATGCAAAGAAGTATTCATTTTCAACCATAATTTAAATTGTATTTCTATAGTACACAAGATATATTGTAAAGCGCTATATAAGAGAGAGAGAGAGAGAGAGAATGAATTAATCAGGTAAAATTCATGGGAGAGCAAGTGTTTCATACAATAAGAATCTCTAAACAGATAAGATTTGAAATGAATTGCCCTACATCAAAATCAAACATGAAGCTTCAGATTCATAAGTGTAGTCACCGTGTCTCCCCAAACCTTTCCACTTTCCTTTCCATCAGGATAAAAAAAAGTTTTCAAATTATTGACATGATCTTTCTTACTTGTATTCCTCATCGCTGGACTGTGAAGTGTTCATACTGTCCAGATAAAGAAATCGTTCTTGAGTCAGATTATAGCAGTCCCTGTCCGCCTGCATCGTGACTACAGGGAACCCCATCTGACGGGTCCACGTGTTCATTGTAGACTTAATATCGTATTTATAGTTCACTGCCTTAATTAAAAAAATACAAATAGTAACTGAAGAACAAACAAAATCCTTATCAGATTTATCAGAGTTATTTATGGTGGGTATAAAACGATTAAGTTATAATTTCTGCTATTGTTGAATTAAATTATTTTCTTATAGAATAATCATTATAATGTTGGATTAAATATAAGACCCTAGCTTGGTCGCTTTTACCTCCGTAAAGGTGTCCCAAAGTTCGTCCATTTCTGCATTTCGGAACTTGAATTTGTTGACGTAGAGCTACACAATGTAAACATATGTAATATGAGCTAATACTGTATATTTTATTGTTGTCTAGATAAGAGAATTGCGAATATGCTTCTATAATCGGATAGTACCCTAAGGCCTTTCTGGAAGTCCTCCCATCCGACAAAACCTAACAGCATCCTTAAAATGGCCATGCCCTAAAAAGACATCGAAACAAATAAGTCGTTCATTAAATCAATAATTGCATGGCGCTCGTAACAGCACGTTCGTTTGGTTAAATTTATTTTTACCTTGCTGTAAGAAATCGAGTCAAAAGATTCTGCAATGTCGTCTGGAGTGGCGATGGGGGTAGAAACCGGATGTGACGTCGTCATTGCGTCTTTAACCATCACCGGAAACACTTCTTTTGCGACAACAGACAGCGTGAACTAGAGAGATGAGACATCATAAGTAAAATAATTTCATTCAAGAGGGTTCTTCTGAATTTATGTAAATATTAGCATGATAAAGACACTTGTAACAATGATCACACACACCCCTAATTTAATGGTATTAAAACAGATCGAGAGAGCCGAATTAATCTTGAGCTGATTCAAAAAAAACCTATATAAAAACGCACGACGTTCCAGTCCGGATATATAGCATCCATGGCGAAGTACATCAGGAGACTGGCAAATCCTTCATTTAACCATAGGTCGTCCCACCATCTCATCGTTACCATGTTTCCAAACCACTGAAATATAGGTTTGTATTTTATATACATGACTGTATATGTTACCGATAGACCATTGATTTGTCTACAATACGCCATGCAATTATTGATTTAATTTTATGAAGATGCCTTTCTATATATACGCAATTTTGACTTCTAATTGTTTGCGCGATTTTGAATGCTTACAGTGTGTGCAATTTCGTGTGCTACGATCAGGGTGACCATCAACTTGTTCTCGCTCGAGGATACGCCTTGTTCGTAAAGAAGCGCAGTCTCGCGATAAAGCACGAGACCCCAGTTCTCCATGGCGCCACCGCTGAAATCCGGAACAGCTACGTGATCTGAAATGGAATTATTATCAAAATGCATAGAATAGTTCATGCATTAAAACTTTTAAAACAAATATTATTATCTTTTTTTAACTTGCCAATTCTTGAGTACTTTATTCTTGATGGAATAGAAAATTAGCAACTTACTCCGAATCGTAAAAACATTTAATATAATATGCCCGCTTAGTTGAAATACATCAAGATATACTATTTTGTGTTTTAAAATGTTGGCGATATACAAAATTAACTACACACTTTTTCCTGTCTTGGTTTGGGGTTTAAATTTGTCCTCGTCAATATGATTATATGTATCGATATCTTTCTTGATTTTTTACTTGTTTTGATTTACGCAAACTTTACCCGTGTTGGTCATTACGTTTAACATCTATCCTGTCATGTTCAATCGTTCTATAACTATCTGGTTCAGTACGTTCTTTACCTGTCGTGTTCAGTAATCCCTATATATCCCTCTTGTTCAGTGTGTTCTATACCTGTTTTTGTTCAGAATGTTCTATACCTGTCTTGTTCAGTACTTTCTATACATGTCTTGTTCAGTACTTTCTATACCTGTCTTGTTTAGTACTTTCTATACCTGTTTTGTTCAGTACTTTCTATACATGTCTTGTTCAGTACTTTCTATACATGTCTTGTTCAGTACTTTCTATACCTGTTTTGTTTAGAACTTTCTATACCTGTCTTGTTTAGTACTTTCTATACCTGTCTTGTTCAGTACTTTCTATACCTGTCTTGTTCAGTATTTCTATACATGTCTTGTTCAGTTTTTTCTATACCTGTCTTGTTCAGTACTTTCTATACCTGTTTTGTTCAGTACTTTCTATACATGTCTTGTTCAGTACTTTCTATACCTGTCTTGTTCAGTACTTTCTATACCTGTTTTGTTTAGCACTTTCTATACCTGTCTTGTTTAGTACTTTCTATACCTGTCTTGTTCAGTACTTTCTATACCTGTCTTGTTCAGTATTTCTATACATGTCTTGTTCAGTTTTTTCTATACCTGTTTTGTTCAGTACTTTCTATACCTGTTTTGTTTAGCACTTTCTATACATGTCTTATTCAGTACTTTTTATACCTGTTTTGTTCAGTACTTTCTATACATGTCTTGTTCAGTACTTTCTATACATGTCTTGTTCAGTACTTTTTATACCTGTTTTGTTCAGTACTTTCTATACATGTCTTGTTCAGTACTTTCTATACCTGTCTTGTTCAGTACTTTCTATACCTGTTTTGTTCAGTACTTTCTATACATGTCTTGTTTAGTACTTTCTATACCTGTTTTGTTCAGTACTTTCTATACCGGTCTTGTTCATTTTTTCCTATACCTGTCTTGTTTAGGACATCTGTGATGTTGAAGTATTCCGTGAAGAAATGGTAGCATTGGACAACCATACTGATTGCGTATTCTGTCTGATTTATCTTGTTTGGCTGGGACCATACACGGATCTGTGAAAAAATAACGGATACAATATCAATAAACATCGAATGAATGGTATGTTTATAGATAACTGACATTGAATCAATGGGAATTGGGTGCGGGATGTTTATAATTCTGAATTTTACAAATAAAACAGTCATTGTTCAATTTTCGAATTATACTTAAAAATTAAAACTAACAATCATAATTAATTTAATTTTCATCTGCTGTTGCATGCTGTTTTGTGACATCTAGGCTTCGAAGAAGCTTATTTTAAATTGAGTGTGTGTGTATGTATATTGCTATACCAAGTACTCTGGATTAATTATCATTCACCATGTCAATGAGCCATTTATAGTTGTCAAAGTTATGGTTCTTGTGGGTTTAAATTCCTGGTTAAGGATGAATCCACTTACATCAAATTTGTTATCAAGGACTGTTTCTCTGTGAGTAAAGTCAGAGATGACTATTGCCAACAGATAGGTGGACATGACAGGGGTGGTATCGAATTCCACTGTTTTCCAACCATTTTCCAGAGTTTCCGAAATCCGGGGAGTATTGCTGAGAGCTTCGTATTCTGCAAAAATTCGAAATTTCGGGCATAAAAAAACTGGCATAAAAAATTAATCTCTTTGTGAAAATATGCTAAAACTTTCGTTTACTGATTTTTATTTGGAAATAAAAATGATTACACGACTATTAACAATGGCAACTTAACTATATGTGTAGAAAAAACTGATATGGATATATAACAATATTAAAGCTTACTACAAAGCTGACAACTACATTAAAAACTTTAAAAAAAGAAAAAAAAAGAAATTGAACTCCATTCCCATTCATCAGACTCCTATATTAGCTTTTATACATGTTTTGACACAGAAAAAGCTGGCAATATATAGGTTATATATATTTTTAAATATATTCTTCATAGTTAAAAAAAAAATCATGAAACCTCTCAAACAATGTCATCTATTTTTTTAAGTAAAAGATGTTATGTTTACTACAAATTCTTCATATACACAATTACCCTATCGGCTCTACCTAAACAGTGATTGTATTCGTGAAGTCGTCGTCCACTGTTCAGTATGTTTTCATGGTAGAAAACGCAACCGGTGCCCTATAATCTGCAGAGATTTTTATTTTTTCAAACATAATTTCACAATAATGTCACATAAAGTGATTTAAAAGCTGTACAGAATTTTAAGGGCGATGACAAAACGGTAGAAGTTTGAACATCATAGAAAGTCTACAATTTCTTAGTATTTTAGAAATGTGAAATTTGCAACATTTACAATCAAAATTGGTAAAAAATAAATACGTATTCATGCATTATTTTTTTGTTTGCATCTTTTATCTTAAATAATTTATCTTTTTTGACCTAAAAAAAAGATGGGTGTAATATAAAAATAGGAAAGTGTATTATATTCTATTGTGAACTAATCAACAAGTTATATAACAATTATTACTGAATTCATCGACAAATCAATTTTCTCTGCAAATTTTAAAAAAAAATCTTCATTTATAGACGTGAGAAAAACGAGGCCTGTCGACCTCCTGGTCACCAATAATAATGTAACAGTCAATAGCGCTGAGAAGTGGAATGATTGAACTTTTATTGTGGACCCCCTGACGGGTGACGATGCTGGGAATCTGCTGTGTGACCTACTTATTGCCGAGTGATTGATATTTGATTGACCTAATTATCTTGAAATGTTCGCATTTTGCTCTGTGACGGCCCGGGTTATGAACTGTCTATATACGCGGCAAAACATATACTGCGTCTTAACGATCGAAATATGTAGAAGTGCAGTATCTCTTTAAAAATGAACTGACATACATGTAAAAAAGAGAGAAAAATGACGACATTGAGGTTTTTTTTTCTTGGGAATTATTTACAGTACCAATAGAACGTCAATTTTTCTTTTCCTGGGCAATCAAAGACCAATAAATCTAATATTTTGTTCAAATATGTTACACGAAATTATACTGTACAGTAAGGGGATATAGAGAATTGCAGTCGTTTGTAGTGAAGTCTAGTAAGAAAGATGCCAGCATATCATTTCATTCAAAACTCTAAATAAAAAAAAAACACTATAGGATTGACTATATAAATTATTTTGTTCATTGAGAAATGAATCTAAAAAACGAATCGCACACTTTATGAAAGCCGAAGGCTTTCATAAAAAAGTGTGCGATTCGTTTTTTAGATTCATTTCTCAATGAACAAAATAATTTATATAGTCAATGCTTATAATTGAATTTCAGCGAAAAACATGTTTCTTTTCATGTACATACTCATTATTTAGCTAACTCAAAAAATTGTGCACGAAATTTACATGCCGACAGGTGCGTAGAAATATATCGATTGGAAAAATACACGATTCTTGGGAGCGGATCTAAAAGCCTGTAGTACACAAGGCGGGTATAATTTTCTTTTAATTGTTATAAAAATAAAGAATTCCCCGTTATGTTTTATTGTCTTTATAATGATTTACCAAGTTATTGATTACGTGAGTTATGAAAATCTGCACGTGCAATTTTTAAAAGCGATTACACATGAAGAATGCAGAAACTTGCTTTGTTGTCAGTAAGCAAACGGTCAACGCTAACACGTCGAGTGGAGTGCAATGGAATATTAGAAAGAGATATCTTCAGGTTAAAAAAATCTAGAAATAAACTTGCTTGTCGATACACCTTAAAATACATGTACACGTACAACTTGCGACAATTAATATGGTTAATACCCTGTATAAGTTTGATGTGCAGACGAAATACTTGAGAATGTGATAATAACACTCGCATCAGGAAAACTTAGTCTAAGGTCCTTCTTATCATTTAATTTTCATAACCTACATAACAATTTTTTTTCTAGTTTGGTTTTCAATTTGTACTAAATTCAATGTAAATTCTTTCTTTACAAATAAAAAACGTAAACACGTGCTTCTTTACAGAGTTATATCCCTTGCCATCCCCGGCATTACCCATTGACAACAATTATCTCGCTTAATAATTCATTTGAATATTTTTCTTTTTTCTTCTCAACAAGAATTTTTATTGTATAATTTAAAAATAGAAACATATGATTAAAATATTTCCTTTAAAGCACACGGAGAGAAACAAAAGATTTACAGAAGCTGAATTTAAATCATGAAAAGAACATTGTCGTACGTTTTAGAGACTATTAGTTTATAACACAATCGGATTTATATAATAATTGGAATGATAAACACTAACAACAATTGTATCAAAATGACTATGGAAAAGTAGTTCCGTTTCTAAAATTGAGATTACTTTCATCGGAAAATGAACAAAAAAATTCTCCGTAGAAGTACATTAGTTCGAAGTGATGAAAGTAAGGAAAATTGAATTATTAATGAATAAAGGATATTTTTATTGATATTCACCAAAATGCATAATCATAAATGAACGATTGTCTATCTTAGTTTATCAATTAATTTTTGATTGATTGATTGATTGTATATTGTTTTACGTCCCATTCGAGAATTTTTCACTCATATAGAGACGTCACCATATACCGGTGAAGGGCTTCAAATTTTGACCTTTACTCGGCACTCAGGGCCATTGAGCAGTGAGGGATCTTTATCGTGCCAACGTCTGCCGTGACACGGGGCCTCGGTTTTTAAGGTCTCATCCGAAAGACCCGCAACTTTCACTCCAAAGTGCCGAGCGCATGGCAAAGGAACAGTTGCTACCTATTTTTTTATCGACTTAGGTCTGTCGCGGCCGAGATTCGAACTCACGACCTCCCGATCACGGAGCGAGCGCTCTACCGACTGAGCTACCGTGAACGGTAATTAATTTTTGAGTGCTTGGTATTGTGTTTAACATAATACTTGAAAAAATATCGAGGTAAATATTTATTCCACAAAAAGGTGGTTCGTAATTTTTTTTTTCATGACTTCTACTTGGAGTTACAATATAACAATCTACTTTGAAATATTAAAGTAGCGTTATTCTGTCGGGTTCGAACATTTCAATCTATGTCCAGTTAATTAGGGCTTTCATAGCTTTCATGAAACAAACATTTTCACAAAATTAATACTTGTCTTAATTTCTATCTAAGTTAAGAATGAAAATGAAGACTACACACTCACCCTCCTGGTGAGTCAGCGTTAACCGGAACTTAGCTTTCATATCGGGCTCGTCCATACAGGGAAACGTCTTCCGTGCATCAGTGGACTGAAGCTGCGTTGCTGCCAAACGCCTATAAAACATTGATTTGTTACTCTTTTCTCTGTCATCTTTTTGTTGTGGAAGCTTCTGTTTTGTATATTTCAACCAAAGTCCTACGAAAGCTTAAAGTGTTGTGATTTAAATATCTTCTTAAATATCACGGGCCTAAAACTTAGAAAAAGCTTTTTTTGTGAAAAATAATAAGTTTGTTCAAATAACGGTCCCCTGCCCTGCATGGGGGCCACAATAGGGGATCTCCGTTTTATAAGGGGGGGGGGCTATATAGGGGAAAAGCTTTCATGTTCATATGTAAGCATCAGGTAAAAATTTTTCCAAGGGAATTTATTGCAGGAAAATATTAGTAATCGTCTCACATAAAACATAGCCACAGAATAAATCTCTTTATTTTGAAAGAATCAAATTATTTTAATTATAGTCCCAAGGACAGGGTAAGTAAAACAATAAGAATCTTTTTTAAATGAAAAATCTTCATCAAAATCAACAAAATTATACTCATTCTAATATGCAATTTCTTAAAGTTGTGAAAATTATATCTTCAATCTATTTTCCTTGGGACTAAAATAGAAATTACAGATCCGTCAAAATAAAAAAAAAATTTCTAACAAAGCAGGACCACTTTTAATCGTATTGATATGCAAACATTCCCACGTCGGATTAACGTTTGCTCAAATATTGGACACTGAGACTAGAGTTGGAGCTAAAGTCGGAGATCATAATAGATAAATAACGAGAAAAAATATTTCCCCATGTAGTTGATTCAAGGTGAGTGAAGGAATGCCACCCCCCCCCCCCCCGGGGGGGGGAGGGGGAGGTCAACAATTCAATTCAATTTGTTTATTTACCAATTAAGGGCCCTCATGGGGAAAAAGAAAGTTCATTGTAAACACCAGTATATTTTCATATAAATGTAATACAATATACATACATACAAGAGAGAAAGAGTTGCATGATTGATAGGTCAACACTCTATTTGAAATTTGAAGGAAAGATCTTAAAAGCTTCTTCTGAAAAACAAGAGTGTCGATGCGACTCAGGTTAGCCTTGTGGCCTATGCCCCTCTTCTTATTTTTAAACTAAATTTGAATACGGACTTTTCCGTCTACCTGATCAATTAATATGACAGGTGTAACCGGTCAACAGGGATGCTAACTCCTAGGCACCGGATCCCACCTCGATCGGGGGGGGGGGGGGTGGTCCGTGTTTAATGCCCTATTTTACAGATTTGGGTTGTTTGTAGGTTGTTCGGAATCGATCTCTATTCTTTATCTTCACATTTTAACTGCCAGAAGGAAATTAAATAATGTGCGATTTCTTTTATTCAAATCATTTGAGTTCAAAAAAATATCTGCTATACTCAGCCAAATGAAGAAATCATGTGTGTTCAATAGAGAGAAAATAAATACCAATCAATTATTGTTCAATATAATAAAATACTAACGTATCTCATAATCGGAACAACAGAAAAATAAAAGAATCAAAAATAGACAGAAAAATGTACAGAAGTGGACTTATATCAGGAGTGTAATCAAATCATTCATTTCGACGTGAATTGTATCCAGGGAATATATATAAATATATATAAAATTGCCCATCGTGCAATTTAAAGAAAACGAAAGATCTGAAGCTACATAGATCACACAAACAAATAATTTAGATACGTAACAGTGATAAAAACAGTTAGTAATAAAAATCTGACAGGTTCTATAAATAGTTGCTGTGGTTTATTTCAAAGCGAGCATCTGTCAGATTTTTATCTGCCTCATCTATGTGTGGAACATTTGTATATATATCTGATCCACCGATAAAGGATCTGAAAAAACGAAGAATTATCATAGAATAAATTATATAAACACATGTACATATATACCTGCCACGTTGATATTAAGAAGAATATTAAAGCTAATATCCTTATTTTTAATTTCATACTCAAAGACCTTATTTTTTCAATAATTTCCAGCTTTGACCAGAAAAAAAAATCAAGAATTAAATTTGCTTGGCTTTACGGTATGACAAACATCCTTAATAAAGAACAACTGTAATGATTATGTATGCTTTATGACAGAAAAGAAACAACCAAAATTATTACGTATAAAGTTTTGTAGTTTATGATCAATTTTAACGTTTATTGACCAGCTGTTGACGGACGTTTCAAATTGGACAAAGTGTTATATTTCTCATTATTGCACAAGAAGCGAACATGTTTCTTTCATTTGGATGGTTTGTGTGTTTGAAAGATGTAATCTCTGACGAGATGATTGTGCCGCTGACAGTTAAAAGTGCTGAGTTAATTGTCTGTAACATTGTACACTGATTACTTTCTGCATGTCTCTAGTCAAATTATCGCACTGAATTGTCAAGATCTAACTATTCAGTGCTTAGAATGCTATTCTTCTACATTTGGGCGTAAGTAATGTTTTAAAAAACAAATATTGTGTGTGCACACCAAAGAGTTCTGATTCTGATTTTTGCTGTTAGTGTGATCTGGCCTACGATCTAAATTGAAATCTACAGTATTTCTTAATTTGTAATCATTCATTTCAAGCATTCTTCATTTTGGTGGATTTAGAGGGAGAGGGTGGCCCCCTCCCCTTTTGTGACCAAAACTATACATAAGATAAATAATTTTTTTTTTTTGGTGGGATACCAGTATTGCTCTAAGTAATATACGTAAAGTATATCTTAAATAAGTGAACCCCCCTCCCCCCAAAAAAACCATAAAAACCTTTAAACTTGAGATCTTCCGGGGAATCCCCCCCACCGACCTCCAGACCCCCAACACCCTCCCCCCTTTTAAAGAATTTTGGATCCACCACTGTTCTTAACATTTAAAGGCCTTTTTTTCCACTGAAGTAAAAAAAAACAGTGATACGTTGTTGCTTTCATTATTTTTCCTAGGGGTAAATGCCACTCACTGTATACTTAAATAGATGAGCTCAACATTTACAACTTTATACAAAATAGTTTTCTTAGTGTCCAAAAAACATTTTGCACTGGTGTATAGAGAACCTTAAAGTGAATTCAAAATATAAATATTTTTTTAACAAGAGGTCCATGGGCCACAACGCTCACATACGTCGTCTCGTCCCCTGTCGTTCTTTTGCAAAGATTAATTTCTTATTTCTATTTCCATGTTAAATCAAGATTCCTTTGGTGGTCCAATCTGAGCAATTAAAACTGAATCCCCACTAGAGAAGATATGACTCATTGTGAAATTGCTGTTCTTGAGAGGACAGTTAAGTATTTATTGTCATTTGTATTTGAAATTAAACTTTACGTTTTAGTAAAATTCGTAGAACAGATAATAGACAATTAATCAATAGGGACAAGAATAGTGTTGTAAGATTCATACCTGGTTTCCCCCTCCGGAGTGACGTATTTACTGAGGTAAATGCCCCTTAGGTCTTCGTGTAAATTCCCGCGGTACCCCACGCTCACTTTATACAGGGTTCCTTCTGAGAGTTCCGAACTAAGCTCAATCACCCAAAACTGATTTTTGATGAAACGAAATTGTTTTAAAATCCCAAATGTTTTTTGTGTATCTACATCCGTAATTTTCACTGAAGTTTTGTTCAGAAATATATGAGAAATATGAAATATGACAAAACGTGTGTTTTTGGTACATTTCAAGGTCATGTTAACATGACCACGATAAGTTAAGTTTTCTAAGTCCACTTTAAGATGAATCTCGTAAAGTAAAGGCATGAGATCTCTCGAAAGGCGAATTTCCCGCCAAGGTGTCTCTTTTGGAATGACTTTTTCTTCCGGAACCTCTTTGGATCCTTCCTCCTCCTCATGCCTATTTTCTGAAAGTGTAGAATTCTCTTCTTCCGCAAGATTTTCACTTAGAATAGTAATAGAAGTTTGATTTCTAACATAGGAGTAGTCTAAGGTAACATTTGTGTAAGGTTTTGGGCTATCACAGCTACAAATAGGTTCCGACACCGACCCGTAAATGATCCTCTCTTTTTTCACAAAGGCAACTAACGCAACTGCAGTACACAAAATAATCAAGTTCCCGAGAATTAGACAGGTGCCCTGGAAGCGACTAAGATAGCACCCTGTCCTTCTCTCTGTACTGTATTCCACAAACAAATCCTTTTTCTCGATAGACTTGCTCATCAATCCATTTTGTTCTTTGCTATGGCACGTCATACCGTTTTCCCTTTGATCCATGTTTATAACTGGTTTACTTACCTTAATGTATATCCAAAGTTACTCTGCATTTTCTCAAATAATTTTAAAAATAATTCATTTTTATCCCTTTTGGCTCTACTTTAACTGGCTTTATAACGTCTGGACACGGTGTAAATCGTAGAAGTTTTCGTTGACACGGGTCTAATCTTAATTATACAAAAGCATCTTTTCGAACACGTATGGATTTAACAAAAAAATAAGCCATCTATATTCCGGTAAAAGCCGTCAGACTCCTCACGTGCAATTCTATCCAGTGGTCCGTTCTCCGTCATACCATTGTAAATGGCCGTCTCTTATCTAAGCACAATCTTTGAGGCGAGTAGTCTCGGAAATCAATTTTATCACAATTTCTTTTCTGGAGCTTGTCAGAAAGTCAGGAGACACCCCGCTGTTGTCAAATGAGAGGTTATTGTAATCCAAGGAAAAGGAAGGGAGAAAAGAAATTATCATTAACTGTCCTGCGAATTACCATTGAATTGATTTCATATGTATATCTTTCGCTTCTCGATGTTAAAGAGAATCGTTCTTAGGAAATGTTACGTTCTACGGAATCAAAGAATGAAGTTATATGGAACAAAGGGGAAATAAATTTCACCTTCAAAATAACCATAATATAATCAGAATATAATGTATCCAAACCCCTAAACCTCTGTACACAAGGATTAAATGAAAAAAATTAAATCAGAGACTCAGAGGATTAATGCGATGTTTCCTAAAATTGCGTCACGTTGTATAACGACTGGCGTAAGATCTCGCGATAAGGTGCGATATTTATCACGGAACAGTGTCAGATTCACACATAATGATAATTCCGACGTTCTTTTTCCAATTAGCCAGGCATGTTTTACTGAATTTGACAGTTCTGGTATAGCACAGCTGATGTTTAACCACGGTAGTTCTTGATAAAACTTCAGCACGGTGGATTTATTTAAAGTCAATACGTTTTACGCTCTTTTTTCGTTCGGGTGCAAATGTCCTTAATTTTATAGAAAACAGAGGCTTTTGCCACGCGCGTGGTGTGATTTACTATATCTGCTGACTTGTGTATGAAATGAAGGCGGTGAGATATGCGTGTATTTTATTGTCAGTTCTCATAATCCGGTACAGGTAAAACCGTTAAAGAATTTATTCGATATTCAGCCTTCAGAATATATGCCAATCTTTATTAGCATAACTCTTTGGTAAAAGAAGATAATATTCAACTCTCTTATTTATAACAGACATAGAAAGATCTGAAACATTATTTACAGATATGGCCCAAATTTGCTTGTATCCAATTTCAAAAGCCGCGCACTGTTAAAATGCAATGTCTTAAAAATTTCGATCCTTTCAATAACGTTATTTTTTTCCGTTTGTATATTGGTATCTTGATAAGATTTAAGTCAATTATGCATCCTATATACTGCTCGGAAAAAAAGAGTTCATCGTTGATTCTCTGAAATTACACCAATGTAAATAGACATATTCTAGTGAAGTATTGACACGAACTCAAATGGGTACAATGATATTGAACATCCGATGAGAAAAAGATTTATTGCATGCTAATTCCAGATCACGCGTATTAATTTATCGTTTTGATGTTTCCTAAAAGAATTAGTGCACTTATTAACACATTAACAACTTAATGGATAATCGCGAAAATATGAATAAATCATTGTAATCTGCTAACAAAATACGTTTGGACAAAGAATCTAGAAAAAAGAAAAGAAAAGAATTGGAATTTGAAATCATAATCGTCGATACTCTTTGAATTATTCCTAGACATTATATGGATGATTAACTGAGTTTTCAATGATCCCCTGTTGATGTTCTTATAACGAGATAAGAGAGGATCGTAAAACATTTCCTCCCTCCATTCTCTACATTAAATACTACTTTTTCTTCTCTATTGTCCATTTATATGAAATGGCCGATTTCTTGTCTTCTGAAGAAGACATAATGTCACAGATGTTGGAGAGTTAATGTTATAGAGTGCGCGTACGGAATATTTTGACCTCGGCCAGAATGTGTAAAGAGAAAAATGCTGACGTTCTATAGCTACGTGTAGATGCTCTGTACAAAGCGAGCATTTTCGGGTCAAAATAAATAATATAACTGACATTTTTTTCATTCTCACCGATATATCAACGACTCACATATTTTTTACGTTAACCAAATACATGTAAATGAATAACCTAAAAATGTGACAAACTTAATGCTTCGTTTTAAGGAAATGTCATGTTTTAAATTTTGAATTTACCGGGTGGCAGTAAATACAAAATTTACAACATTTTATAAATTTTGTATTTACTGCCACCCAGAAAATTCAAAATTTACAACATGACAGAAACTCTAATCACTACACACAGAAGAATTCTTATTCCATGGAAGTTTTCTGCCCTTTGATGTAAGAATAGAATATTACACTGTGAAAATTGCGTTTAGGAAATAAACACTTCTATTACATGTTTAGATCTAAACGTGTATAGTATTGTGTTTAACAACTAAACACTTATGTCTTTATATGTTTTATATCTAAACGCGTTTAGAAATTAAACACGTTTTACTGTAAAGTGCAGAGTTATCTTCCCGGAAATGATACACATATATTTGAACGTTAATTTGAACGGCTATCTAAACAAAAAAAGAAAACACAACAAGCTAAGGTGATGTATCAATGAGAGTTATGACAACCCAATTCAAGGGATAATCATGACGAAATAGTGAAATATGTGAAAGGGCATCTTGTTACTGCGATACATTAAAGGTTTGTTTTCTTCTTCTTTGCATTAATTAACCACGATCAGCAACGTAAATAAAGTTGACTTGGGATATCTTGAATTCGTTCATAGACTTGCAGGATAGGAAATATTATTAAATGTCATTAAAACATCTATATTTATATCTGTGTAGTTTCACTTAAATTGGAACAATTTTGTTTTTTCAAGCAATGTAAAATATCAGTGATAGTGTACTTTTTCTAAATTCTGGCTTTCTTTCCTACAGGCACTGTAGTCCAGATCGAACTCAAAATACACGTATCAGAGTACCTGGTGTCATCTTCAAGTGCAATTTTGTTGTTCCATAATCAACACTTTGAAACTTCATTTGTTGAAGACTATTGTGTTAATTCGACAGTGTTTACAATTATCCTTGTACATTCGAAATGGATTACTTTCTGGCAGTTATTGATGGGATATAGATTATAATATGTGGTGCTTTGGGACTTGCTGAAAGTTAATAAAATTTGATATTTTTGTGATTGACATGAGGAAAACTCTGCAGCCGATTCAAATTATAATGATTATAATAAATATGTACATAAATATACAATTTGTATTTTTAATTCAACAATTCTTCAATAAAGCCTTTTAGAAATATTCAATGAAGTTTTGATATTAAATTGTCAGCTTAATATTATTTTCTTAATAATTCTGAAGATAAAAAGTTTGATATCTATGGGTACGTTATAAATTATGTGTCATTCTGATTGAATTGTTGAGACTAATCAAATCTTTTCAGTTCTATCTCCTACATTATTTGACGTGTAAATTAAGTACATGTACATCACACAGTGTCCATTCTATTGTATAATTAAATACATATCCCAACGTTCAGTGGCTTTATGGAAAATAATTAATATTGGTTACATATTTTGAAAATTTTGACAATGCGCATTTAAAAACATATACTTTTTGTGCCTAAATTTACGAGAGTGTTTTGTTTTTCTGCAGGTCCAATTTAAACTTATGATGTGTTTAGATTTTAAACACATCTGCTGTTATGTGTTCCGAATTTAAACACTTGTGTTTATGTGTTTACATGTGTTTAATTTCTAAGCACACAAGTGTTTAAATTCTAAACACTTACTAAGACATGTTTAGGAATTTTACATGTTTAGAAATTAAACATATAAAAAAGGAGGTGACAAGAAAGTGTTTAGAAAAGTGTTTGAATTGTAAACACATTTTTTACAGTGTAGTAAAGGGCATCTACATTGAATGACACAGGTTGAAATAGATTTGATATTCCTAACATTATTTTACACAAAAAAGTAAAATTAGGTACATTTTGCATGCATTTTCCGTATGTAAGTAACTTCACTACTTTCAGTACTTGTCCTTGGAAAAAAGATGGCAAGTGCAATGTGTTCAAAATAAAAAAAATAAATTAATAGACCCGATTGCCCAAATTGATAAGACTTTATGTAACATATACGCTTTTTTACAATATTCTCAAAGTCCAGACATTTTTCACTAGTGTATATAGCGCTTTCTTTAATACTGTAACATACTAAAAAGCAATCAACATCAGCGTGAGAAATCATTCGGGGGGGGGGGGGGAGAGAGAGAGAATTTCATATTTTTAATGTTAAAAAAAAAATGCAAGATTTTTTTAAATCCAATTCAAAGAAAAATTTTCAACCCTAGGTCTAAGGAGTTTCCAGTTTGAACTCGAGTTAAAGAGTGCACACAGCCTTTATATTCCTTGTTTAATACACTAATCTTTACCCCGAAATAAACTCAAATAGTCCTAGTATCACAGTTTAGGGGAAAAGTGTAAAAACCTTAAACAGTACATGTAGTTCCAGTACATTATGTGTGTACCAAATGGCGGTAATTTTAAGCGAAGAATGTAATTTTTGAGAATTCATGTGGACATGAACTACGACACTTCACGCCTGCATATTTCATGAAGCGCGTTAGCGCTTCATGATAAATATGTAGGCGTGAAGCGTTGTAGCTCATGTACCTCATGAATTCTGAAAAATTAAATTTATATCTTATATTTACATTATTTTTTGATGACTTGCCACAAATTTTTGTCATTCAACGATCATTTTTTGAAGAACAAAAGTTTGCACTATTTTTTGACTTCAGTCACATCACAATGGAAATATTCTTACTCATCCCATGGTAGTTCATGAGAACAACTTTTCTAATTTGGAAAGAATCTTATAAGGGAAAATATTTTGGAAATGTAAATATATAACTTATTGTAAAAAAAACTAATTCGTTCTAAACATAAACATAATGAAATTTGAAGGAGGGGGCAGATCAGTTCTTTTCAGGGGGTATAGGGATGTGCCGCTTAGACATTTAAGCCAAAAGTTTTCATACATTTTCCATGCATCTTCAAATTAAACACGCGTTCGTTTGTTGGTAATAAGTAAAGTAACAACTATTAGTGCTGTCAGATTTATATTTATAGCCTATTTACTGTATTTTTTAAGGAATAACTGTCTTATTTTTTGGATTCATGATGTGATCAATCGAGTGGCTTGCGTGATAATTTGCATAAACGCCGAAGGCGTTTATGCATAAAATTATCACGCAAGCCAATCGATTGATCATCGTCATGAATCCAAAAAATCTGACAGTTATTCCTTATATTTACATGCTCCTGATTCTGCAAATTCCCGTGCTAATAGCCCCGCTTCTGTCTCTATTTGTCCCGCCCCGCACGTGATTTTTTTTAACCGCGCCTATCGATGAACCAGTAGATTTATGTAGAAATAAAGTATTTTTACAATTTGTAATTTTATCTCGAACAAAGACATTGGAAATGTAAATATTACCGTATAAATTTTGCTGTTACAGTGTATAAAATCTCTCTAGAGAATTCAGTTGTATCCAAGTAATGCATATACT